TAAGCTTCGCAAACATTTCTATGTTCAGTCACGGGATATTCAACTCTTGTTTAATTAAACTTAATTAAAATGCAATTCTCCATTGTATTGCATTGTAATTGAGTTTAATTAAACTCTAATTAAAACGCAACCCTATATAGGAACGCGTTTTAATCAAGTTCATATCGCAACTATATTAAAAGTTAATCCAATGAAGTCCTCGGAACATATAGCAATACAAGTATGTGTGTCTGTGTCTGTGTGTGTGTGTCTGTTTGTTTGTGTGTCTGTCTGTCTGTCTGTCTGTCCATCCAAATGTATGTCCATCCAAATGTATGTCCATCTGATATCATTTCTCAAACATGCCTTGACTAATTTATGTTGCTAATATCATCAAAGATGAAAGGGAAAGGTATATTAAATGTCTGTCATTTTTTTTTGTCATTGCCATTGTTGCCATCATCGTTGTTAATACATTTTGTAATTGTTAATGTGTGCATAATAACTTTACTAATTCTATTCCAAACTTGGTCACCTAATTCATCACATTTGCAAACATACCAATAAAATACATAGACTATCTTAACAGAAAACAAGATATCAGATAATCGATATAAGCACTCTTATGAATAACTTTTGCCAAACTTTTGATCAAAATCCGATAGAAAATTTTGTCTGTTTACTCCAAAGTTATCAAAACAAAAATAATGCACTCCATTTCTGTTCTGATTTACATTCTATGCTCACAATTTTTTAGCATGTTTTTTTGATGTCATGGAAACCATACCTCCTATGCATATGTTTTTGCTATACCTGAATTAATTACTGAATTCCATTTTTTTTCTTCAAATAGTTTACCAAATTGTTGTCTTGTAGTAGAGAGAAACATAAAAATATAGTCTGCTTTCGATTTGTGCTTTGAATTAACACTCCTTCCCTCAAAGAGTTATTCAGCTCTCAATATATGTGCCTGAATTATACCCCCTCACACAGAGATATGCTGCCTCCAACATGTGCCTGAATTATACCCCCTCACACAGAGATATGCTGCCTCCAATATGTGCCTTAATTATACCCCCTCACACAGAGATATGCTGCCTCCAATATGTGCCTGAATTATACCCCCTCACACAGAGATATGCTGCCTCCAATATGTGACTGAATTATACCCCCTCACACAGAGATATGCTGCCTCCAATATGTGACTGAATTATACCCCCTCACACAGAGATATGCTGCCTCCAATATGTGCCTGAATTATACCCCCTCACACAGAGATATGCTGCCTCCAATATGTGCCTGAATTATACCCCCTCACACAGAGATATGCTGCCTCCAACATGTGCCTTAATTATACCCCCTCACACAGAGATATGCTGCCTCCAATATGTGCCTGAATTATATACCCCTTCACACAGAGATATGCTATTTTTATGTCCCATTATGTGTAGTTATTCTGCTCCCATATAAATTATACCCTCCTCCCAAACCCATTTTCTGCTCCTAATATGTGCCTGAATTATACCCCCTCACACAGAGATATGCTGCCTCCAATATGTGCCTTAATTATACCCCCTCACACAGAGATATGCTGCCTCCAATATGTGCCTGAATTATACCCCCTCACACAGAGATATGCTGCCTCCAATATGTGCCTTAATTATACCCCCTCACACAGAGATATGCTGCCTCCAATATGTGCCTGAATTATACCCCCTCACACAGAGATATGCTGCCTCCAATATGTGCCTGAATTATACCCCCTCACACAGAGATATGCTGCCTCCAACATGTGCCTGAATTATACCCCTCACACAGAGATATGCTGCCTCCAACATGTGCCTGAATTATATACCCCCTCACACAGAGATATGCTATTTTTATGTCCCATTATGTGTAGTTATTCTGCTCCCATATAAATTGTACCCTCCTCCCAAACCCATTTTCTGCTCCTAATATGTGATATGAATTATACCCCCTTCACAGACTATGAATAATAATTCCTTTGTAAAGAAATATTTTACCCCAATATGTATTGTACATGTACCTCCTCACATATATTTTGTTTCCAATATGTATTATGAATGAATGAAACAATGCATACAATTGCAATTTTTCGTCATTTTCAGCCAACTGAAAATTATGTCGTAAAATAAACAAGTTCGGCATCAATGTTTTTGTAGGTATTTACATCAATCCAGGACCTTTGGTAGACTACTTTCTCACTGCTGTTTCAATTCTAAAACTTGTTTGTTAATAAATTAATTATGATAATTCATATTGAAACAAACTATATTATATAATAATAATATATAACAAAGGGCAAGGTCACCAGAGTTAAACTATGTTTTGTTTTGTTGAACTTTGACCTGACTGGTGGCTATTTCAGTCTCAAAACAAAAATTGGACATGTCACCAACTGTATTTCAGACTAGCCTGGACCAATTTATTGTAACTTGATGAAGTAGTTTTCACTTTTTGTTCAAGTATTATATTTCATTACAGGTGCACCAACTGGTACATGTATGCAAGAAGACTGTACTCATTGGCAGTTACATGCACACTACTATCCTCCATTGCTGAGATCTGCTTCTGTTAAAAAGTTTATGGTGGGATATGAAATGTTGGCACAGGTACAAAGAGATCTCACTGCAGAACAGGTACATATTATATATATTAGCGTAATATAACTATTTCATTGATTTGATTAACATGTTATCTAAAAAACTATTAATGTTGCAAAGACTTTGCTTTTTAAGATTTACAATATATCACTGAAAACCCACAGCAAAGTGGCATGGATATGGTTATGTTTCATTTCAAGAACCGTATTCTATGATTACATCAAATGCTGTTCAATGGACCCCTGCTGTGTCACATATGCGAATATTAAACCCTGTTGTGCTACTTGAGTATTAATGACTGTTGTCTCATTCACTTGAGTATTAATGCCTGTTGTCTTATACACTGAGTCATTCACTTGAGTATTAATGCCTGTTGTCTCATTTACTGAGTCATTCACATGAGTATTAATGCCTGTTGTCTTATACACTGAGTCATTCACTTGAGTATTAATGCCTGTTGTCTCATTTACTGAGTCATTCACTTGAGTATTAATGCCTGTTGTCTCATTTACTGAGT